GTATTTCACTTTAAAAATAAAGCAAATTTACTTTAGAATCCATAAGCCACAAATGTTGCCCTGCCTATAGCTTAATTAAAAATGCAGGCGGCCACATAAAGTTAGGATTCAATTATTTATAAAATATTGGCTTCTCATGTAACTTAATTCATATGACATTGATTATATTGTAAAAGCTAATTTATAAAGTAACTTAAGTAGGTATCTTTAATTTAAAAATAAAAAGGCAAAGAAACTTAGTAAAATTTATAGGTTTGATCCTTTATTGGTCTGATCCAAAAGTATAAACAGTGTCCCACCTACAGCCAATTCAAAAATGTAGGCTGTATGAGGCCGTTTTGTCTTTCTTGAAATTCTACTGCTGTTGAAAATTTTGGCTATATTTAAGAAATACATTGTTTTTGCCTTTCTTATGGGCGAAAATTTTTATAATATTTAATATATAGTATATAAGTAAAATATATTAATTTTTATTTGATAAAGTTTTCCATGTGATTTCATGTATCAATCTGTTTAATTAAAAAATATTTCTTTTGGCAGAGCTGTCACTGTTGTGGTCCTGTCAGGGCGCCGGCGACGAGGTGTTGAGGCCGTCGCCAGGGCGGAGACTCTGGTGGGGCATCTTCGGGCGCTGCCCACTGGCCCAGGGCTTGCTTCGGGCCTGGCAGCCTTGGGGCCGCAGCCTCCTCCGCCGCCACCGGCTCCCAGCGGCCACCGCGCCGGGCCCGCCCCTTTGTCTCCTTGGCCAACGTGGAAGACTTCAGTAGTTCAAAAGCACCCCCAGATGTCAAATAAAACCTTGGTGGAAATTTTATTAAAGAATCTACAGCCACTACGTTTCTGAGACAAAGAGGATATGGCTGGCTTTTGGAAGTTGAAGATGATGATCCTGAAAATAACAAGCCCCTCTTGGAAGAATTGGATATTGATCTGAAGGATATTTACTACAAAACCCGATGTGTTTTGATGCCAATGCCATCACTTGTGGTTTTAATAGACAAGTGGTGAGAGACAATCCCGACTTTTGGGGTCCTCTGGCTGTTGTTCTTTTCTTTTCCATGATACCGTTATACGGACAGTTTAGGGTGTTATCATGGATTATAACTATTTGGATATTCGGTTCACTAACTATTTTCTTACTGGCCAGAGTTCTTGGTGGAGAAGTTGCATATGGCCAAGTTCTTGGAGTTATAGGATATTCATTACTTCCTCGCATTGTAATAGCCCCTCTACTTTTGGTGGTTGGATCATTTGAAGTGGTGTCTACACTTATAAAACTGTTTGGTGTGTTTTGGGCTGCCTACAGTGCTGCTTCATTATTAGTGGGTGAAGAATTCAAGACCAAAAAGCCTCTCCTGACTTATCTAATCTTTTTATTATACATTTATTTTTTGTCCTTATATACTGGAGTGGGATCTAAGTCACATGTAAGTAGAAAAAGACAATGTTACCCTTGAGTGAAGGCTGGGAATTTTTGCTGAAGGGATTGAAGAAAAGCTGTTGCTGATAAAATTTTACGTGTTCCAGATATAAAGACAGGATTAAGGCTTTTTTTAAAACAATATTTTGTTTTTGGACTTAATTAAGCAATTGCAGTGATCTGGACTTTTTAAAAATCAGAATTCTGAATTCTGTTTGATTCTTTACAGTGAGGCAGGGTGTGGGCACAGAGCCTGGTCTCAGGGAAGCAGGGGCCTGAGGATGACTTCAGTGGGTCAGGCCTGAGGCCTGGGGGTCAGAGCCCTTACCTCCCCTTCCCTTCTCAAAGCCATCTCCTTGGGCCACCATCGCCCTTATAACCCTCGTTATGGGCCTGGTCTTCCTTGGCGCTGTGGTCGCTGGAGCTGTGATGTGGAGGAGGAGGAAGCGCTCAGGTAGGGAAGGGGTGGGGCTGAGTGTCCTGTCTCACTGGGTAGAAGTATGTTCTGCTTCATTAATGCCAAGTACCATCCCCACACGTGTTGTTGCCCAGCGTGGGGCCCTATTTGCTGACACTCACTCTTCAGTAAGACACGGGTGAGCATGAGGGACACATTCATCACCTTGATGATTCTAGTGAGGAGGCCTGGTTCCCAGCACTCCCAGCTCAGAGTGCAAGGTCCCTGCTGAGGGCAGATCTCCGGGAGGATGCTTGGTCCACTCCCCTCACGTGTAGTTTCCTCCGGTTTCCTGATCCTGCCCTAGGTCTGTAGTGACAGTTCTGGAAACTTCTCTGGGCTCCAGGAATAGGAGTTTTTTTTGGGACCTCATGGCCCTGCCTCCTCCCTGTCTTCTCACAGGAAGTTTTCTTTCCACAGGTGGACAAGGAGGGAGCTATGCTCAGGCTGCCAGTGAGTATGGAGGGTGACCCTGAGACTGTATGATAGTGAAGATGGGAGTCCATGAGGGACCTCAGCCCCGATAGTTCCTGCTTTAGTCTCCTCTCCTAGGGGCTCTGACCACTTCCTGTTTTGTTGCACCTTAGGCAACAATAGTGCCCAGGGCTCTGATATATCTTTCTTGGCTTTTAAAGGTAAAACTCTGATGTAACCAGAAGACAGGACCTGGTGATGAGGATTCTTTGGGACATAGTGAACCTGCATGAGCTCTTGAGAATGTCACTACTTACAGCCACAGGGCTGAATATTTCATGATCATTTTCTTCCACAGTGTGTGGCATGTGCCTTGTGGGGGAAGGAGTGATGGGAGATTTGTTATATTCGTGCTCCCACTTTGTGACTCAAGAACCTCTGATTTCTTTCTGCCAATGGCATTTCAATGTGTGTGTGTGTTATCAGCATAACATGAGGAGCTAGGAGGCTTGCCCAACCCTCCCACCACTCACCCTTCTCACACTTTCCTGTCCATCAGAGCCCTGCTGGGCCCTCCCCTTCCCTGTCTTTACTTGCTGGTGCTCAGTGGGGGACTGAGTCATGTGAGATTTACCCACACTCCCACTTTGTGACTCAAGTGAAAGGTTAGCATGGTGATATGCTGGCAGGCTACACAGCCATTTTGAATGGAAATAAAGAAAAATGGAATTTATTTAAGGAAAGAGGATGGGGGATGGGATATCAAAGGGAAAAGGGCTGCACAGCACCAGCCAAGGGGAGGGTGGGCAGGCGATGACAACACCCACAATTTTGAGTTTTATCTTTAGATGCAGTCACTGGCAGGAAACTGTGGCCAGTGGGTCTGGAGGCTAAATACCCTGTTTCCCCGAAAATAAGACAGTGTCTTATATTAATTTTTGCTCCCAAAGATGAGATAGGTCTCATTTTCAGGGGATGTCTTATTTTTCCATGAAGAAGAATACGGTACACACTTATTGTTAAATGAAAATAAAGAAAATTTATTACCTGTATACGGTACGGTAGTACGGTAGTTGTCAACACAAACCAGATAAACTGTGAATCCTACAGTATCAAGAATTTACTCATTTATTCAATGACAATCATGTCATCATCTTCTGGAACATCATCATAACAATCCAATTCCTGAATTTCCTGGTGAATTTGTTGTGACTCCATTTCTTTCAGAATCAGTGGACCAAATCTCTCATGTTTAGCCTGGGGGGGGGGGGGCTTAATTTTGGAGGGATGCCTTATATTTCACTCAGAAGAAAACTTGTAAGTAGGTCTTATTTTCAGAGGATTCTTATTTTCAGGAAAACACAGAAGTTGGCTTGGAAGGGGATGGAATGCAGGTGTGGGGTCGGCTGTCTTTTGGGAAATTTCAGTTGCTTATATGGTCTCACTCCAGGTGTCTAGCAAGTTTCTCCTGCTCTTGCTCCCCTGTGGTAAGAAGCTTACAAATGGCCATTAAGTGTTATATTGTCTGATAGCCCTAACATCAAGAACCTCTGATTTAAAAAGAAAAAAAAATTCAGATTGTTAATTCTCAAAAACATAATTACTGTCTGGCAATAATACTCGAGGGAAGTAGTTTTCCAGGTTATAACTTTTTGTAGAATATGTTCGTTACATTCCTTCGTTTGCCTGTAAGTTAACATGGCTCCAAAATGTAAAGGCCTGATTCCCAAATGAATGTGGAAGTGTTAAAATATGTGTGTTTGTGCGCACGTTTTATTCTCTGTACCGCCGTTTTGTTTTAAATATTTCATTTACATTTTTATTAACATTACTTGCTTGTTCAATGCTTTTGTGATGGATCAATTAAAATTATTTTCAATATAAAAATAAAAATAAATAAAGAACCTCTTTCTGCAAAGGGCATCTGAATGTTTGTGCCTTCCTATCAGCACAACTTAGGAGATAGGAGGCTCCGCCTCCCTTCCCTTCCCCCCCCCCCCAACACCCCACTTTCCTGTCCCTCCCCATCCTGTGTTTACTTGGCGCTGAACAGCAATTTCTTACTGGCTGATTAAAATAAGACTCTGGATGTAAATTTGCTTTCCTGCTTCTTGCCATGAAGGGCTGATGGGTTAAGTAGAGAAGATTCTAAAATTACAGAGGGAATAATTGGAATCACTGAGAACTCTCTAGACCCATGTGTTTGTTGTGCTGAGTCTGTAACCTGTGGGAACAGGAGGGGCTGTGAGCATGCAGTGTGATCATGGACTGTGTCAAGTTCCCAGGGTGAGTTTTCCTCTAGAAATGTCCGGAGCAGGGGAGGAAAAGGCTGTTCCCAGCCTGGGGAGTCTCCCTGGTTCTCACACAGCCCCTAAGCAGGACTGAGGGAGACTGTGTGACAGGACTCTCTTCCTCTCACAACCTGTGTGGAGCCCTCCGACATCAGTATCCTTCCTGGATACTGATGTCGCGTCCCCAGTTCTCACTCCCATTGGTGTGCAGTTTCCAGAGCAGCCAATCAGCGTCGCCTGCCTTCCCAGAAATGCCTCACTTCTCAGAAATGCCTGCCTTCTACGCTGATCACTCCCATTGGTGGGCGGTTTCCAGAGCAGCCAATCAGCGTCGCTGCCTTCGCAGAAATGACTCCCTTCCCCCAAACGCCTTACTTCCCAGAAATGACTGCCTTCTACACTGATCTGCAAGACCGAAATGTGGGTTTTGGGGCCCCCAACGCTCCTTCTGCTGCTTTGTGGACGCCTGGCCGTGAAGGAGACCTGGGCTGGTGAGTGTGGGTTCGGGAGGGAACGGCCTCTGCGAGTGACGAGCGAGGGGACCCGGCGAGGGCGCAGGACCCGGAAGGGGAGTCTCCACCTCCCTCGTCCTTATCCTCCTTCTTTCTGTCTCTGGGTCTCCTTCACCCCTGGTGGGTCAACGACCTGGGAGCCCGACTCTTTGCTGGAGGAAGGTCGCCCTGTGTCAGCCCCTCCCCTCCGGCCCCCAGACTCCCTGAGATATTTCTACACCGCCGCGTCCCGGCCCGGCCACCCGAGGCCCCACTTCCTCCTTGTTGGCTACGTGAACGACATACAGTTCCTGAGGTTCGACAGCGACTCGGAGAGTCGGAGGGCGGAGCCGCGGGCGCCCTGGATGGAGCAGGAGGAGCCCAGCTATTGGGACCTGAGCACCGGAAACGCCAAGGCCACTGCACAGACCTTCAGAGGGAACCTGCAGACCCTGCGCGGCTACTACAACCAGAGCCAGGACGGTGAGCCAAGGGCCCGAGACCCAGCCAAGAACTCCAACCCCCGAACGAATCGGGTTCGCCCCTCAATTCCCAAGCTGCGGGATCCCCGAGGATCCCCAACCTGGGAGAAGCCATCAAGGACTTAGATCCGAGTTCAGTTTGTTATATATATGTGTACACACACACACACACACACACACACACACACACACACATATATATATATCGTTGACAGAGAGGGATAGAGAGTTAGAAACATTGATCACCTGCCTTCTGCACACCTCCCAATGGGGATGTGCCCGCAACCAAGGTACATGCCCTTGACCGCAATCGAACCTGAGAAATTTCAGTAAACAGGCCAAAGCTCTATCCACTGAGCCAAACTTGTTTCGGTTCAATTTGGGTTTTAGTTATATCCTTGCTAGTGGGACTGGCCTCCTGGCAGGACTGACCTTGCAGGGCAGCTTGTGGGTAGAGCTGATATTGGGGCTGAGCTGGTAGGCAACACTGACCTCTGGGCTGGTCAGGGTCTCACACCTTCCAGTGGATGTTCGGCTGTGACATGGGGCCGAATGGGCACCTCCTCCGCGGTTATCACCAGTTCGCCTACGATGGCACCGACTACATCGCCCTGAACGAGGACCTGCGCTCCTGGACCTCAGCTGACATCGCAGCTCAGATCACCAGGCGCAAGTGGGAGGAGGCCGGAGAGGCTGAGGAATGGAGACACTTCCTGCAGGAGGACTGCCTGGAGTGGCTGCACAGACACCTGGAGAAAGGGAAGCAGGTGCTGCAGCACACAGGTACCAGGGGCCAGGGGCCTCCCTCCTCTCCCCTGGGGCTGGGGCAACACAAGAAGATAGGACACAGGGTCAGTGTCAGAACACCCCTCCTTTGGGCCAGGAGACTAAGTCCACTGGCTTTTCAGATCCAGGGACGCCCACCCTTCTCTCAGGGACACTTTGGGTGCAGTCTCTCAGGGACAAATAACTGACCATGGTTCCCATTGAGCCTGCAGTGGCTCTGGGATCCAGGGGGACTTGCTCTCTCAGGCCCTGTTCCCTCCCCTCACCCAGTGTATTTAAGGTCTGACCACGACTTTTCTGAGTAATTTAGACTCCACCCAGGACGGAAAGAGTAATCATTTCTCCCCCTGAGGCCTGCCTCCCACCCTGGGCTGTGTCCCTCTGACTAGAACTTTCTAAAGACTGGAGATCATCCCCAGATGCTACCCTGTTTCCCCGAAAATAAGACAGTGTCTTATATTAATTTTTGTTCCCAAAGATGTGCTAGATCTTATTTTCAGAGGATGTCTTATTTTTCCATATGCTAGGTCTTATTTTCGAAGTAAGATGGTATGTCCAGACTGGTGGCTGCTTGTGTGCTCCCTCGCCCACCCCAGGTTCCCTGTCCACTCTCATGGTCACATGAGTGCTGCTGGAGAGTCCCCTGACCATGCCAAGTTCCTCAGTTTCCTCACCCTTCTCCTCAGACCCTCCAAAGACACACGTGGCCCACCACCCCATATCTGACCGCGAGGTCACCCTGAGGTGCTGGGCCCGGGACTTCTACCCTGCGGACATCAGCCTGACCTGGCGGCGTGATGGCGAGGAGCAGACCCAGGACATGGAGCTTGTGGAGACCCGGCCTTCGGGAGATGGGACCTTCCAGAAGTGGGCGGCCCTGGTGGTGCCCTCTGGAGAGGAGCAGAGATACACCTGCCACGTGGAGCATGAGGGGCTGCCCCAACCCCTGACTTTGAGATGGGGTGAGGAGAGGCGTGAGCATAGAGTCTGGTCTCAGGGAAGCAGGGGCCTGAGGAGGACTTCAGTGGGGTCGGGGCTGAGGCCTGGGAGTCAGGGCCCTCACCTCCCTTTCCCTTCCCAGAGCCGTCTTCTTGGGGTATCATCCCCCTAGTGGGTGTCATTGTGGGCCTGGTCATCCTTGAAGCTGTGATCACTGGAGCTGTGATGTGGAGGAGGAGGAAGCACTCAGGTAGGGAAGGGGTGGGGCAGAATGTCCTGTCTCATTGAGGGTTGCAAGCCCACGTAGAAGTATGTTCTGCTTCATTAATGCCAAGTACCATCCCCACACGTGTGGTTGCCCAGCGTGGGGCGCTATTTGCTGACATTCACTCTTCAGTAAGACACGGGTGAACATGAGGGACACATTCATCACCTTGATGATTCTAGTGAGGAGGCCTGGTTCCCAGCACTCCCAGCTCAGAGTGCAAGGTCCCTGCTGAGGGCAGACCTCCGGGAGGATGGTTGGTCCACTCCCCTCACGTGTAGTTTCCTCAGGGTTCCTGATCCTGCCCTGGGTCTATAGTCACAGTTCTGGAAACTTCTCTGGGCTCTAGAAATAGGAGTTCCTTTGGGACCTCATGGCCCTGCCTCCTCCCTGTCTTCTCACAGGATGTTTTCTTCCCACAGGTGGACAAGGAGGGAGCTATGCTCAGGCTGCCAGTGAGTATGGAGGGTGACCCCTGAGATCCTGTGATAGTACAGACTGGATCCCATGGGGAACCTCACCCCATAGTTGCTCCCTTAGCCTCCTCTCCTGGGGCCTCTGACCACGTCCTGTTTTGTTCTACCCCAGGCAGCGATAGTGCCCAGAGCTCTGATGTATCTCTCACTGTTTCCAAAGGTGAGACTCTGATGACACCAGGGGTTGGGAAGAAAGGGGGAAGACCTGGTGATGGGGATTCTTTGGGACATTGTGAGCCTGCAGTGTGCGGTTGAGAATGTCACTGCTTACAGCCACTGAACTGCGTTGTTCTTCATCATTTTCTTCCAAAGCATGAGGAACTTCAGGGACTGAGAAATGATTTTTCACACACTCACTTGGTGATGCAAGAACCTCAGATTCCTGTTGATACTTCCTGGTGCGCTCAGCTGCAGCTTCTTCCTGCCTGATTGAACTAAGAGTGTGGATATGCATTCCTCTTCACTTCTTGCCATGGAGGGGTGATGGGTTCATTAAAGGAGAACAGCCCCGCTGGTGAGCCTCAGTGATTGAACTAGGAAATCGTGGTTGGATTCCCTTTTCAGGGCATAAGCCCAGATTTCAGCTCAATTTCCACCCGGGTCCTGCAAGTGGTACAAGTGGATGATACTCTCTCACCTTTGATGTTTCAATCTGTCTCCATCTTTTTTCCTCTCTCAGAAAATCAATAAAGATATATATATTTTTTTAAAAAGTAAAGGAGAAGATTCTAATATTTGAGAGAAATAAAGGGAAGTACCGAGAACTTGTGAGTTCCTGTGTGTGTGCTGTTGTGAGTTCCTGTGTGTGTGCTGTGCTGAGGCCTTTGCAGGGGGGCAGGAGAGGCTGTGAGGACCGAGTGTGGTCAGGGCTGTGCCCAGTTGGTTCCTGGTCTCTCTTCAGCTGGGTCACCTCTCTGCTCCTTTGTCCTTCTCCCTTCAGTAGAACCTTGTCCCACCAGGACTGTCCATCACAGGGACTCAACATCACCAGGCTTTGTGAACTGTCCTCATGAGGAACATCTCCAAAACCGTGGGCAGCAAGGCCTTCCTATGCGGGTCAGCCTAGGCTCAGGCCTGGGTCCTGCCCTCAGCCCTCATCTCTGGGACTGTATTCGTTGGTTGGTTGTTTGTGTAGAGGACTATGCCTGTTTGTATTCTTGTTATGAAATTCGGTCTTTTGAGTGTCCCATATTCAGCATCAGCCAGAGGTGAGTTATTCATCATTGTGCCCAAAAGGCCCAGGAATCCCTGCACACAAGAGTTCATGGTCTAGCCAAAACCGGTTTGGCTCAGTGGATAAGAACGTCAGTCTGTGGACTGAGGAGCCCCAGATTTGATTCCGATCAAGGGCATGTACTTGGTTGTGGGCACATCTCTGGTAGGGTGTGGGCAGGAAGCAGCTGGTCGATGTTTCTCTCTCATTGATGTTTCTGGCTCTCTATCCCTCTCTCAGTTAAAGAGTCCAGGGTCTGGAGACATGAATTTAAAGTCTCAGCCTGCTCTTGGCTCCTTCCATTAATTGATTGATTTTTCCATCTTTTTCTATACTCTCCAAGCAACCAGATTCTAGAATGACCAGTCCTTCCCTGCCCTGCCCTCTAGTGCCGGCTCTGGCTGCAGTGGGAACCCTGGGGTTTTTGCAGTAGAGTCTCCTGTAGATTCAGGGATGACTGCTCTGTGGGAAGAGCAGGTGCACGGATGTCCATGTGAGAGCTCACTGTGCTGTAGCTGCACAGGACAGCTGTGGTCTGAGGCCACATTAATGAAGACATGTCTCTAGCACAGGGAGGTGTTCTACACTGATCATTCATGAACCAATATGAGTTGTGTGCCAGATGTGGGACAGTGTTTCTGCATGTGGGGAACATTGAAGGAAAAATCAGAAAAGCTGCTTTCCTGTGGGACATACCTTGTGTGGGAAGAAACAGGATGAAAAAGCACAGTAAACTAGGAAAGCGTCTTGTGACAAGGGTAACTGTTCTGGGAAAAAACGCCATGGGGAAGGGAATCCTAAGTGCGGATATGGGGGACACTTAACATGAGTATTTTGATTTCACAGAGAAAGGGAGAGGGAGAGAGAGATAGAAACATTAATGATTAGAGAGAATCATTGATCGGCTGCCTCTTGCATGTCTCCTGCTGGGGATTGAACCAGCAAACCAGGCCTGTGCCTTTGACCAGAATCCAACCCAGGACTCTTCAGTCCCCAGGCTGATGCTCTATCACTGAGCTAAACCGCTTAGGCATACCTGTTTTATTTGGGTGGCCAGTCAGTGGTGGCCTCACTGGGAAGGGAGCTTGAGGAAAGCATCTAAGGACCGTGAGCAATTATCCCTGAGGATGTCAGAAGAAAATCCTTTCCAGCAGTGGAACCTCCAATGGGAATGGCCTGGGGCAGGAGTGTGACTGGATTAAGAGGGAGGAGGCCAGTGTGGGAATGGAGCAGAGTAATGGAGATGAGATGAGGACAAGGCCAGACCTCCTGGGCCTGGAGGATGGAAGGACAGGGATGGTGCTCTGAGTGAGGAGGAGCCACAGGAGAGTTTAGAGCAGGAGAGGCCTGGCCTGATACTCCTTTAAAGGATCGCTGTGGCTGCTGAGCTGAGAACAGTGGGAGGTGAGAGGCTGTGGGGAGGCAGGAGGAGGCTGGGAGGGATCCAGACTGGAGAGTCTTCCAGGGGTTGAGAGGTGGAAAGAGGGCGTGCTGGGATCCTGGTTCCTTCTGAAGATGGACTTTAGAGCGTGCCTACTGGTTACTCTGGGGCATGTGAGAGAGGAGTCAAGGTCACCAAAAACCCATTCGTAGTTGGAGGCCAAGTCAACTTGCCTTGAGAATTCAGAGGCGATAGATTGCAGTCCTTCAGCACCCAGGAGTGGCATGACCCTGGCAATTCTGTGGAAGTGGGCCTCGCCATGCTGTGTGCATGTAAAAGAGAGACTCCTTGGTCCCGTTTTCTTAAAATTGGCCTGGCAACTTTATAAAGGTGTTCCACCTGGATACTTAATTCCAGCTAAGTTTCCATAGGAATTTTGAAAATTTGAAAATCGAGTACTTCAAACAAAAAATGTTTTCTTGATTAAAAAAACAACAGTATAGAGGCGGAGCTCGAAGATGGCGACCGAACAGACGGACTTGTTCTAACTCTGGTCCCAAGACACACAGGAGCAGCGTCTGAGTCGCTCAGGGAGTGTTTGTTAGCAGCTAAGGGGCAACGGATCTGTCAAGGAGGGTAAGGAAGGGTCAGCTGGATGGGATTTCCTGACCGGGCGGCCGGCGCTGTCGACTTCTCCCGGAGCTCTGGGCTCGGCGGGAAGGCTGCTACCCGGGCTGCGTCGCCATACCGGAAAGGAGGAGCATCTCCGGCCTGGAGGACCCACGGCGGAGAAGTCCATCGAACACCGTTGATACACCAAAGGGCGCAAACGCCCGGATTCAAGGTAGCTCTACAACTACCCACGGAAAGGTCAGAGTTTGCGGGGATAGCCTTAGGGTTCTGGCGGCACAGGCAGCGGTAGCCCCAGAGCGCCACGAGGCCCCGCCCCCAGTGCGGCCCCGGAGCGCCGCGGCCCCGCCTCTATTGTAGCCCCGGAGTGCCGCCACCTTGGCCCCGCCTCTATTGTAGCCCTGGAGCGCCGCCACCTTGGCCCCGCCTCTATTGTAGCCCCGGAGCGCCGCCACCTTGGCCCCGCCTCTATTGTAGCCCCGGAGCGCCGCCACCTTGGCCCCGCCTCTATTGTAGCCCTGGAGCGCCGCCACCTTGGCCCCGCCTCTATTGTAGCCCCGGAGCGCCGCCACCTTGGCCCCGCCTCTATTGTAGCCCCGGAGCGCCGCCACCTTGGCCCCGCCTCTATTGTAGCCCTGGAGCGCCGCCACCTTGACCCCAGAGCGCCGCCGCCGTGGCCCTGCCTCTATTGTAGTCTCAGAGCGCCGCCGCTGCGGCCCCAGAGCGCCCTAGAGCGCCGCCACCGCGGCCAGCCTCCATTGTAGCCCCGGAGCGCCGCAAGGCCCCATTCCAGCGCGGCCCCAGAACGCCGCGGCAGCCCGCGCCAGAGCTGCGCCCAAAGAAGGCTGCAGCTAGAAACTTGTCTGGCGAAACCCAGTCCAGGGGTTGGCGTAACCATCCCCAGAAGCAGGACTTTTTCTAAAACGCCAGGGGGACACGGACAGATTGTTAGGAACCGCGGCTGTCCCGCCAAGGGCAGAACACCTGGACACCTCTGATCCCCCTCACCCCCTTGCATCTGAATACTCGGGAAGGACCGCCCAGGTGGGCATATCCGCGAAATTGCAGGGGGAAATTGCCTTCCCGGAAACAAGGGATCGGAGCCAAAAGAGATAGTTTGGGAGCCAGTTGGCACTCTGCGTGCTAGAGCCACAGAGAAAGAAGGCCAGAGCAACCTAAAGACTGGGAAATCAAACCAGTAACACTGACACCTAAGGACTGAATTACAAACTGCCTTTTTTTTTTCTTTTCTTTTTTTTCTTTTTTCTCCTTTTTTTTCCCTGCTTTTTTTTTCTTTTTCTTTTTCTTTTAACTAATAAAAAATAAGTGGACACAAATAACTAAGATATAGCCTACTTAAAATTGAGGACTACCTTACAAAACTGAGGTGCAGTGGAATGCTGGGAACTGCAACTCTCTGGTCCGAGAATCAGGCGTGCCAAATACAATAACAGAAGTGAATGATCACTACTGGACGTTTTTATGTTAATTTTACTATTCTTTATTTTATTGACATTTTTTACATCTTTTATTTAATTTTCATTTTTTACATCTTTTACTTAAGAAATGATTTTTTTTCTTTTTTACTTACTTGATTTTACCTTTTCAATTATTACTTTTTTCAGTCTCTATCATCACTATTACTACTGCTAATTTGCAATTTTTTTTTCTTCTTCTCTCCAGTACCATTTTATTTCTTCTTTATTTTACATTGGGAGTAACCTTCATTCTATTTTAATCTCTACTATAGCATCATTCAACCCTATCACAACTCGACCTTTAAAACATCACTCTCTTACTAAACTTTAATCTTTTAGTCTCAGGTTTATCATATCCCTTTCCGGCTTTAGTTTTTCCTCTATTCTTTCTCTATACCCCCTGCTAAAGCTCTCACTATACTTATAGACCTAAGTTCCAACCCCTGATCCAAGTGTATAAATACCATTCTCTGCACTATATTAACTAGTTAAAAAAAAAAACAAACAAAAAAAAAACTGTTCTACTTTCTATACTTTTCTCATTGTTTGTGTGAAGGTTGATTATTGTGAATTTTTATGCTTTTTAGTGAAACTGTTATGCTTATTCCTGTGTTA